AAGGGGTATTTTAAGAGGAAGAGAAGAGACAACAGACCCAATAGTGTCCAACAATGACCTGAAAGCTGCTTTTAAAGCGTCTTTTGCTTCTGTTTGGTACGATGTTGGCGTGTAGAGGGCAACATGCTAACTGCTTACATCCCATGCTGTAGTACTGCAATAATTAATTTAAAATTGAGCCAAAGACCCAGCCCTAAATGCATGGAAATTAACAGATTTTTTTTTTTTTCAGAATCCAGACATTTCTGTTTAAAATATGTTGAGTGAACTTTTGTGATATTTTACTTTTCTGACACTAAATTGTAGGTTTTGGTTCTCTGTAACCAAATTGATCAAAATTACAGTAATAAAGGCTTAAATTATTTACAGTAAGTGCAATGAATAAAAAAATCCTTTAATTTTTCATAAGAATCTAATCATTTAACTGCACACGCACAGCACTACACACAAAACAAATTGACCCTGACTGACCTTCTCCTTCTCTTTGTTGTCAACCTACAAGCAGACAGCAGGACCATTTAGAGCAGGACAAATTGGAGAAGACAGAACAGCAAAAGCAGAACGGTTAGAAATAGATCCCTCTATTTCTAAACAGATTCTAGATGCCACAAACAAAGATAAATAAACACAATTCAAACAATCTATCTTTCTCCACTTCCACCTTTCAGTTCTGGGCCAGGCATAAAGTGGGATCTTTATTAATGAACAGCTTAAAACAGGCCTAAACAGTGTGGAATAAAACCACAACAAGTAAATAAAATGATGGGAGTTTACATCAATGGTTTGTGGTGACAGCCACTCCAACCACACAGTTATCTTAGTGATCCATTAGTGCAACAAAAGTACACCATAGCCCCTAAAGATTTGTTTATGAAAGTATTTTTTCATTCCAAAAACCCTCTGAATGGCTCATAAGGAAGCCAAAACAAAAAAAGGAAGTGTTTCAGAGTGGCCTAGTCAAAGTTTAGACTTAAATCCAATTAGGAAGACCTTAAACAGGCCTTTATTCCGTTACACCCTTCAAATGTGGGTGAAATAAACTACTCAGCGGCAACTGTTGGCACTATGTTTGATTTAATTACCAGTATTTATTTATTTTTTTTTCTTCATATTTTAACATCAGAACAGGATGGTTTGGAATCACTTTCTTTTTTCAATTAAATCATCATTTAAGTGCTTCTTGGATTACCTGAAGTTAACCTTATCATATTACAATAAGTTTGATATATTTAACAACTTTGTATACAGAAAATTATGAAAAAATAAAAAAACAATGTAGTTACAACAAGTTTTCAATAATTAATTTCTTACCAGTGCTGAGTGAATACAATTGAATGATATCACTCTGATCTGTTTCACTATGCATTTAGGTTTAGCTTCCACCACACAGACTGCTGGACTTTTTTTAAACAAAACAAAAAATCCCCAACAATTAATTTATTTAACATATTTCCCAACTTCAACACCAAAATAAAGGAACTAAAGCTGAAACCATAAAAAGCAAAAGTAGCAAAATAAAGTGGTGTGTATAACCATGGCTAACAGCATAATTGTTGTATTTTTTAACATAATATACTTTAAAATAAATATTAGTGCTTTGATGCAAATATTAAAGTGATTCTAAGTTTTAGGAATCATAAGAACAGAAACATTGCTACAAAGTAAGCCAAACCAAGCATGACTTTTACCCAAATAACTTCAATCTTACCTCAGATCCCTCTGAGTCTGAGCAACCAGACTGTTGGTTAATAGAATAAGAAAAACAGGGAAATAATGAGACAAAATGAAAACAAAGAAGGATGTTTCAGATGGATAAGTTCAACAGTCTTCCAGGTCACTACCGACCTGGAAGCTCCCCCTCACCTTGGTGTCCTCTGACTGTCAGCAATAAAGATTTAAACCAAGGGAACCAAACGAAGATGATTATTTTAAGAAATATAGACAATGAAAATATTAACAAAAAAATAAGGCTGAATTTTCTTTCAGCTGCAGCCTACCCACCATGCCATCCTCTCCTTCATTCTCAGAAATGGCCTGGTGGTGAGCATACAGGGATGAAAAAAAAAAAAAAAAAGTAAAACTATGGAAAAATCAACAGTTCCATGAGAAATCATAAACATATACAGTTCTACTACTATTCTTTGGTATTGTAATATAATAACATATAAAAAAAGGCTTCTAAGAAGGTAATCATAATGTTTAAAAACAGGCAAGAAATTGAATAATCTTTGGAGGTTCAGGACAGGTCGTCCGGTGCTCTGAAAATGCAGCGCATTACACCTTATGGATCATGAAAGTTCTTAGACAAAATCTGAGAATCAAATTTCCTACAAGGTGTGATTGCCCTGAGAACAAAAGAGCCAATCACAAACTTAGTGATGTACTGTCACCTCTGTGTAGGAAAAACTAAACTGCCTTTCCAAATACGTATATGGCTTAATGCAGGAGAGCCGGCACCTAAGGACAGCACTCAGAGAGGATTGAAAGCGGAATACAGGAAACCATTACATGGAAAAAAAAAAAAATGGAGGATGAGGGATCAAGTTCCAGCTTTTACGTAGACTAAAGGTGTCCAGTCAGCGTCAAACCAATTCACTCCATTTTAGATGTGATTAAAAACATCTGAGCCAGGCCAAAAGTGGCCCTAACAGCAGCTTGTTGCTAAGGAAGTCTACTCTGCATGTCATTTTAGACATGCAAAATTTATCTTCCTAAACATCCTCACTAGCTTTGAAATGTGAAAGCCTTTCAGAAGAAGGATACACCTGTCAAGGATTTAAAGTGTATTTGTGTTGTTCTGCTTTCCTCCTCAGAGCTGCAGTTCCTCCTGGTGGGTGGGGCTCAGCAGTGTGCTCCCACACACCTGCTCCTAATCATCTTGTTTTGTAGAAGAGGAGTAAAGAGGAGCTGTCATTGATCATTTGCCTGAGAATTAATTGATTAGGTTATCTAGCCGCCTAGGGTAGATAACTACTCTCAGTAGGTGTTGTTGATATGCTAACCTCCTGTGTCTGTCCCAATGATCAGCTGTGCTCCTCTCCCTCCTCACACCTCCAGGTCAGTCTGTCCGCTCCTGTTTCCTATCCTCAACAGCAGCTCACCCACTCCAAACCTCAGTAAGATCCATTTTCCCAATCAACAACTGCATAATTAAACCACTTTGGCTCCATTCATTTCTCCTCCACTTCCCACAGAGATCAGCTGTCTAAAACCCAAGAATCATACAGGCCTACTATCATTATTCATTAATTATTTCAATAAATATTTCTATCTCTACCTTGTGGTAGGTTTATTTCTATGTGAGTCAGAAGTCTGATTGAAATGACAAAAATGTATTTGTTTTTTGTGTCTATTTTAAGCAACATTCAAACAAATATAAGTGGATATTAGTGGGTCTGTAAGTATATATTTGAGCCTGAATGTATAATTTGGACTATATTACATTTTAATTTCTGGATAAACAAGTAAATAAGCTGTGTGTTGTCTGATCACCCATCTCAGGAACAAAATACTTCAATAAATTATTAAAACTTTTCATTTTAATCGGATTCTGGTCTACATTGATTGAAACCTTTGACTAAAACTGTACCTTTACATGAAATTTCTGGATAATCCTGAATATTAAAAATTCTGTATATCCTTGAACCCACCTCTTCATCGCACTCGTCAGGTTCCTCCTCATTCTCAAGCTTTTTGGAAAATGCAGCAACGAATCAGATGGAAAGGAAAGTTTTTTTTGTTTATTTATTTTGGAGGGAGAAGAGGAATTGTTAGATAGAGGAAGAGAGGTCTAATTAAGCCTAAAAATATCCAAACACAGTCTACAGGGATGGATTCCATTTAGGGATTGTTAAGGGGGTTCAGGATGGGTATTTATTTTTCTACTGACAGGAGGAAGGAGGGATGAAGGACAAATCCTCAGACGTACCCTTTCCTCCTCAGCAGTTAACTGCACAAGAGCAGACACAAAATCAGCCTTACTCCTTACATAAAATTGCTACTTTAAACCTCCAACTTTACTTTTTTTTTCCTAAAAAAAATCTGACAGCAAGAACTGTTATAATGGAAAGTTTTTGTGACATTTTTATTTTCTCTCTATGAATTGTGAATGTACTGCATGTTGCTTTCAGGACTTTCATCTTACATAAAGGTATAGTGGAGGATGTTCTTTTTCCTGGTGGATCATCAAAATAAGTGGTAATCCTAATTGTCAATTGTTCTGGTGATATGTTTTCTATAAGGTCGTCCTATGTGCTCGTCCCCATTCTCACTTGATGAGTCTGATATAGTGGAAAAAATTGCAAATGTTCTTTTGGAAAGTAAGTTTGTATGAGTGATGCAAAGAGCAACTTTTATACAGAGCGTGCACGAGGAGAAATTGGCTCATGCATGCTCTCGCACACCTCTAATTGGCATTCCCAACGGGAGCGGGTACAGGGTTGTGCATGTGCATTTTTTTTTTTTTTTTACGTGGAAGAGGGCGGGTCTTTTCAAAAATTCATGAAGATCCTCCACTATATCTTTAACAAAGCTGCTTCCACCAACTCAAAGCTGAGAGCAGCTCTTCCTGCTGATATCAAATGAGATCCAATCCACCAGTGAAAGCGGCTAAAAACAGCAACTACTCTATGGAGAAAAAGAAGCACACTTTTTCTCCCTCATGTTAAATGAGGGGGGTCTTTTAAATGTTATCCCATATTTATACCCAGAGGCCTACCAGAAAATCTACACAAATGCCAGTTTCTAAACTTCCGATCTTCAATAATATCCCACTGATTCTGTGGAAACAATCCTTATAAACTGTTTTTATTCCCACCTGTGTAAAATCTTATAAATAAACTAGAGGGATCACGGAAATGTTTAGCCCGGATTTGAGGACACTTGAAGCATTTTAGTTCACCAAGATGATGTTAAACTCTTTCAGGTGATATTAGCAACAGATTTAGCAGGAAAACAAAACAGTGGCACTATGAGGTTTGAATCTACTTGTTCACACTCACCTGTTTTGCTCCCATCGACTCAAACATTTTCTCCAGAAGGACCCTCATCTGCTGGATGTTGTTCATTAGTACACAGGGCTGTAGGAAGAGGAATGAGTCGAGAACAGGTGTTATAGGAGAGAAAATAATAGAATAAGAAATAAATCACTGCAAAAACAAAAATAGAAAACTCCTTTAAATCGACCTTGGACACACAGTTACAAATTAAATAAGTTTTTTGCAGTGGGTACTCACTATCTTCTCCTTCTCACAGTAGGCTGGAAAGCTCTTGGCCAGCACTGCACAATACTGCAGCAGAACTTTGGTGATTGTCTGTGGAAACAACCAGGGTTGATGTTTTGAGATCTTCAAGTGAAAAATATCAGTTTCTTCCATAAACAAAATAAATATTCAAGTCTCCTGATGTCTTGTTTCTCTGCTTCGGGTTTATTGCAAACAAAACTTTACAACTTTTTGCATTATAAACTTTTTTTCTCTTAAAACAGTTGCGCATGGTCATTTGCACAATTTTTTTGTCTTTGTGCGTTTAGTTTGGCGCAAGTTTTGATTACAATGTTTGCAGATTTAGAAAAAACTACACAGGGGACAAAACAACGTTACGTGGAGTTATATAGGATCTTATTTAGTAGTGCTTTACACTACATTCAGTCATTCACCCATTCATGCAACATTCACACTTTACTGATGGTGGCAAGCTACATTGTAGCCGCAACTGCCCCAAAGCTCATTGAGATTGTGTAACACAATCTCAGATAAGCACAAAAAATAAGTCCTGCAGGACCAGATTGCAAAAATGTTTTTAAAACCATTGAGAGAAAAAAATGGCTAAAGGGATGAGGAAGAAAGGATAATTTGTATTGTTGAACCATTTATTAGGTTATTGTGAAGTGGCTAAACTTCTTTATGGGAGATCCTCATGGGGGAATGTTCTATTTGGACAACAATCAGCAATGGGAACACTTAATTCGTAACGTTTAAGAGGAAAATTCATCAGAGTGTTGGCCTAGTGGTTAGAGCAGTGAATTTGTGTTCTGAGAAGGTTGCCAGCATCCGGTTTGATCCCCACAGTCTCTACTCTGGGACCCTGAGCAAGACCCTTAAGACAACACTGCTCCCCGGACGCCACACAATGGCAGCCCACTGCCCCTAAGGGGATAGGTTAAATGCAGATGTGAATTTCTCCATTGTGAGAATAATAAAGTTTAATCAATATAACTTTTTTTTAAAACCTATTTTTGTCCACTGATCTTATTAGACAGTCTGCAAAAACTTTGCTTAGTACAGTGTTGTTGTTTTTTTAAATGCAGATTGCAGTATAAAACATTCGGTAAAAAGGTCAAGAAAATGTTAACGAGGTGTCAACGATCCTAGCAAGGATGCACAAATAGTGTCTACTGGTGACAAAAACTAAATGTCATGTTTGTTTAAGTGCAAACATCCCAGGGGAACTCTCAAAGAAATCAGAGGTTTAATTTATGATTTAAGACGGGAACTTAAGGACTGGAAAAACCTAAATAGTGCAGTTTTCCCGTCAGAGCATCCAGAGTCCCTGTGACAGATTCCCTGGCTTTCTGCTGACTCAGCTGGATGGAAGGCTCATGCATTAAACATTTAAGCCATTAACTGCCCACTTCCCTAAGTCCCTCCATCCTCTGATTGTGAGGCTCCTGTCTTTCCAGTGAGACTTTATCTACTCTACTGTGATAAAGATGAAATACTATTATAGTCTGAATCAAGACAAACAAGGAATTGCTGTGGGAATAGGTGACCAAAATCTTTAAAGCAAGTGAGAGAAGAACATGGTAGAAGGGGTGAAAAACAAAAGGCAGGAGGTTCAATAGCAAAAGTGAAAAGATTAAAATGACTGGAGAGGCAGAAATAAAAAGCCATTTAATAGAAATGGATTGGGTGATGGCTCACGTTAGCCATTCTTTATGCAAATTACTGCCTTATTGATCCAGCCTTAAAGTTATATTAGCTTTGAAGGCAATGCCTAAAGGCTGTTGCTTTAAATGAATAAAAACAGAAATAAGTTGTCAATATAAATGTTAAATATCTGTTTGGTTAGGTTTTTCAGATTTACTCCTGATCTGAGGAGGTGAAAGATGACAAAGGGTTCAAAGGTTAGATTCTAATATGCCACAGCAATTTATCGTGTGTTTAAGGCTCTATATTTTTTTTAAATCTTATTCAGCTACTAATGTAACTGAGCATTTGTTTAGTTTTGCACAGGAAATTTGTTAGGGAAAAATCCAAAAGGAATAAAAGAAGAGGAAAATCCTCAACATTCGATCCCTCTTTAGAAGGAGTAAAACTGAACCTAATGGTCTTTTATGCTAAAGTTGAGAATTCAGACATTTTCCCTGTTTGCTACAACTTAACTGCTAGGAGGAACTGACACTCTGTCATCATGGGACCATTTTTTACATTCTCTCTTTGCAGCTATCTAATGCCTAGACTTAGACTTATGCTACGTTCAACCCCCACGCAGCAGGAGCAGCAAAAAACGCGCCTGCAGCTTCATTTTTTTATGCTTGTACAAGTTTAGTTCTGACGCACAGAAGCTGAAGCATCTTTGCTGCTCTACCTGCTTGGTCGAAAAAGTGGGTCTGATGAGTGTTGGACGGAGCTACCCTATCCTTTCTTTGCCTGTAACAATGGCAGCTATATTTGCTGTGATCAGTGGGTAAAAAGTAGTTTTAAAATGTTTTTAAGTGAGAAAGTCCACCTAAAGAATTCAGCTGTGCAGTCAGTTTAACCAGATTGTGATCCTGCCTTCAAATATTATTTAGCTGACAGAGCCACTCAGACCTCTGTAAACCGGCGGTGCGCTGTCACTGGGAATCCTGTTCAACAGCAACCTCTGGTCCGGTTGCCTCTTCGCGGTTTTCCGCTACTGTTCGCGGCAGCTGGTAGGCATTTTTAATGTAGGTAATCCAAACTGCAGGCAACAGAATAATAAAATCAAACATATTGTGCAGGCAGGTTTTGACATTTTAAGTTAATTTAGGCATTAAACTGTTTCAGAGGAGCGATCGTAGCTCTTTGCATCAGCAGTGCTGTGTCTGTCTCCCTGCAAGCTCCCAGATCAGCTTCTCTGATTGGTTGATGTGGTGCATCGAGCAGCAAAGGTTTTTTCCAACTTTAGCAGGAGCTGCTTTGCAGCTCGTCACGAGCTTCAGATGCTCAGAAACACATGACGCGCTGCTTCAGCTGCTCAAAATACGCTGCAGGACCTTTGATGCGCCTTGATGTGCGTCAACCATTGACTTTGCATGCAAACTAGCATCTTCTGCTGCTTCAGCGGCTGGCAATCTGAACTTAACATTAGACTTAGACAACTTTTATTATAATTTTGTATACACAGTGTTACAAAAAAATTTAGTTAATTACAGTTTTTCAGAAAGTAAATGAAAATTTCCATTTCCATAAATTGCCGCAGAGATCAAATGTAAACAGTGTAGGAGAAAAAAAAAAAACACGGGGCAAAAAGTTCAGAGCATTAATATGCCTGATGTACAGGCTGTAACGTTGGTGATAATATAATTAGAATATCATGAAAAAAAGGATTTATTTCAGGAATTACATTCAGAATGTGAAACTGGCAATTGTCTAAATTAATTACACACAGAGTGACATATTTCAAGTGTTTTTTTTTTTATTTACACGACTATAAATGACAAAACCAATTTTTTTAAGCTATCTCAGAAATTCAGATTATGAAAAAGTTCAAATAGAGACACCTAGTTCCACACTATAACCAGCTAATTGATTCAAAACACCTGCAAAGGACCTTTAAATGTTCTCTTAGTGTAGTTCTATACTGTAGCCTACAAATTATGGGGAAGACTGCTGACTTGAGAGTTATACAAAAGATGACCACTAACATCTTGCACATGGAAGGAAACACAAACATTTCCATTGCTACAGAGGCTGGCTGTTGACAGAGCTCTGTATCCAAGCACATTAATAGAGAGGCAAAGGGAAAGAAAAGATGTGGTTGAAAAAAGTTCAGGGGAGATTGATAAAGAATTGACTGCAGCTGGAGTCAGTGCATCAAGGACCACCACACTGATGCTGTTTCCTCTGCTGGTGATGGTGTTTTTTCTGAGTTCCAAGGTCAACACAGCCAAAAGACTTTCTGTTTCCGGCTGTAGACCAACATAATGGAGATGTAGATTTAATCTTCCAACAGGACTTGACACCTGAGCACAATGCCAAAGCTTCCAGTACCTGTTTTAAGGACAATGGTATCTCTAATCTTAACTGGACAGCAAACTCATAGCAGATCTATGGGGTATTGTAGAGAGGAAAATGAAATACCCCATACCTAAGGATGCAGAAGAGCTGAAGTCGACTATCAGAGCAACCTGGGCTCTGATAACACCTGAGCAGTGCCACAAACTGATCAACTCTATGCCATGCCGCATTGCTGCAGTAATCCAGGAAAAACTGAGCATTGAGAGCTGTACATGTTATATTTTTTGGTTGGATAATATTTCTAAAAATCTGTATCTGTGTATTGTTCTTAAGTAACATTCAAATTTTCTTTGATACTGAATATGGGATTTTCATGAGTTGTAAACATCTAAATTAAAGGAACTAAATACTTGAAATATATCAATGTGTGTATAGAGAATGATTACAATATGAAAGCTTCAGTTTTTCAATTAAATAAGCCAATATATATATATTTTTCATGATTTTATAATAATATGATCAAACAGCCTGGTCAAAATAGACTGAATAACACAGAGCACAGATCATTTATTTTGGTAAACTGCTGCTGAATCTGGCTAGATCTGGTCACAATAATCACAGAGCACGAGGCAGGACTTTACAAAGTGTAATTCGGGCAACCACAAATGGAGCAATGTTGCAATGAGAATTAAGAACGTACAAGAGAGCACGCCATCTATCATCAGATTTTTGGGGCAAAACTAGCAGAAAGCATCCACTGGGGCGTTTCTTTGATGGTTCAACATGTTTCATGGATTACAAAATTACAAAAACATAGCTTGTCGCTTGGAGTTTTTGCATTACATCCGTACAGTAGTTTTCTGATTGATTGAGGCTAACTCTGTTGGTCCCGCCCTTCGTAATCGAGCTGTGGCAGCTGTTTACCAGACTGATACACTGTATATAGGTCGTATCAGTGTAGCTGGTCAAGCTAATAACCAACATTATATGTAAATCAACAAGAAACATGCCATCAGTGTTGCCACTGCTATAAAATCAGGAACATTATTTTAGTTTGTTGTTGCTCACAGATGTATGAACACAACACTAAGGTGGAGAGACATCACAAATGGTCTGAGAGAACCCTCACCTGCTTCTTATTATTAGACAAGGGTAATAAGGACATTTACAAACAATTTTAAGTTATTGATTGACAGTAAGATTTTCTATTTTAGTCACAAGACGAAGACATTTAATAGATTTGCCAATTCTGCCTTGGAATGAATGTCGCAAAAAAATTAATTACACCAAAACCCATGCAACTCCATCTTGGACTCTATAGGTCTCAGTCAGCATGGTAGATTAATCTATGGATTATGAGAACAAGACTGAAAAAGGATGACTTTGTAAAGCCAGTAAAAAAACAAGCCTCCTATCCTTAAAAATAACATAATAGCCCTGACTGAAGTTTGCTTAGGTGCTTCTCATTTACCAGAGGATGGCCACACTAAATAACATGGATAACAATATCAGGAGAAAATCAAACGCACCATACAGTATGTTCTGGGGTTGGACATTTTGCATTGCTGCTGATATGGCCTACATAGAACCCTGTGAGTCTGACTGCAACCAACCTTCTCTCCTCTACTTCACAGGAACTGCTTTGCTTTATAACCTTGGTCTGCAAACCACAACACTTGCACAGACATTTTCCACTCACACACACCACTTATCTGGTAAAAGTGCTGGAACCCTAAATTGTTTTAAATCCAGATTAGAAATGTATTTGTTTAAAGTGGCCTTTCACTGTGCCATCTAAAGAATATTAGCTGAAATTTGTAGTCCAATCTACTTTCACTTTACTATCAATCATTTCCTCCTTTTCTCCTGTTTTAAATGATCTTGCAATGTACTTTTTTATGTGCTTTACTTTTGTGTAAAACAATTTGTGTACTACTACTAAAATGTGCAACATAAATAAAGTTGCCCTGCCTTATTTTGTAATGGCAGAATTTTTAGACCCACTTTCATAATTGGAGGAGGTTACACTAGAGGTGGGTGGATTGATCCAAATACCGATAAGATCGCTACCAAAACTGGTACTGATGTTGAACCATACTAAAAATAAACTCTCCTGCATGCATTGACTGCAGCAGATTCATCAAAGCCTTTGGCTGTGTCCAAACA